ATAGAACCTGTGTATTCACCCGCTGGGTAATTAAAGTGTCTACCTGAGCACAAAGTTTCAATAGCAGAAAAAACCCAGATAAGGTCTGTCTTGATTTCATAGCTGAGTATCCCCTCTGTGTTTGATGGCTCTCGGGAAAGTTACGCTGTGGTTGCCGCTTCCAGGCTCTGTTCTAATTACATCATTCACATAAAAATGTTTGGATGGAAACATATACGAGTTGACTTATAAGAGTAGTGTGGGTCCTTTCAGTAATAGTTATGCTGGTTAATTAGTCTCAAAAGTCATGCACGGAGCCGTGACGAGCCCCCCGACACAGCGGCAGATGTCTCCGGCCTGATCTATGTCTCTGTTGAGATACGCACACCACTGTTCAAAAGTTTTCCATTATCATTAAAATTAAATGTATGCCATTTGTCAGCTTCAGTGCAAATAAAACCTTTGTTTTAGTGTTAACTACTTCCAAAGATAACAAAGTTATTGGAGCTTGAACAGGCAGCAACCTTCTTCTTAAAAGTGAAGCCAAAGTGGAAGTGCCTTAAAGCTGCATTCTCTCTAGTGTCCATCAGGGGGCGACTCCTCTGGTTGTATAGAAGTCTATGAGAAAATGACTCTACTTCTCTCTTGATTTATTGCCTCAGTAAACATTGTAAACATGAGTTTATGGTCTCAATCTCTAGTTTCAAGTCTTCTTCAATACAGCATGATGTTCATTTAGTACATGATGGTCCATTTAGAGTCAAACAGACCATAAAGCAGCTTTAGTGATTGACTGGTCATGCTTTCTGATGCTGAAAGAAAAAATATATTTCCAAAAACAATGTTTCATTTACTTCAGACAATGTGTAATATTGTTTTCTGCCAAAGAGATTTCCCCTGAATGGACGAGAGTGATGAAGTGACCATGTCCAGGCAGGAACAATTACCTCCCTCTTAAATCAAAGTGAACCACAATTAGTTCCAACACCTGACCCCTTCATACTGTAAAGCAGAGCAGCTAGGGATCCATCCCGTAATATTTCTCCCACACTGACAACCTCCTCTCAGTAACACAAGCCTTCTGAGGCATCTCTGTGTTCTTTATGAATTATTTTTAATTCACACTTCCTGATTAATGGTTTAAAAACACCAACACAGGTCACATCAAACTTCAGTGTTAGGGGGAAATTGTACATACATAAGGCTCAAATCATGAGATGTATTTCAGAATTATGAGAAAAATCCAAATTTTGGGTAAAAATCATTTATCTAAGACTTAAATTATTTATATTCTTAAATTTGACTTAATACACAAAATGATGTATTCTGGGTTCCGATTCATCTCTGAAATATTTCTCTTGGCCTCAATATCTCATAGAGGGGAGTGTGTCAGCAGAGTCTTTGTGTACCTCAGCAGGACTGATACAAAGGCGAGCACGAGTGCAGGCGGGTGGGCGGCGCCCAGCGGGGGTGCGGCGGTGCATCCTCCACCTGTGCTGATGACAGGAATCCCAGGTGAACGCTGTTTCCATGACCTCTGAGGGCTCACTTGTCATTAGGGCGATATCACAAGGCACGTAAACAAGCGCACCCTGTTGTTTGGCCGGGTGGGGCTTCATAGGGCCAGTGACACTAAGGAGACCTTACAAGATGATTTACAGGGTATATATATTGCCTTAAATGTCTCATCGGGTTCTCTAATGAGGAACCAACAGAGCCAATCAATAGAGAGCTGCAGGGAGGATGTATTTTAGAACAGAACGTTAAAATCTTTGTTAACCACAGGTATTATTTCAGACAACTTACCAAAAACCCACTGATTTTGAGACAAGGGCACTAACTCGTCCTTTATTAGTTTGGCTCTCAAGATGTTTTAGTCTCATCAGAGCTAGTTATCACCATTTATCACAGATTTGAAGGGTTGGTGAAACCCACAAAGCAGCTTTTCTTAACCTTTCAGCTGGTGCCTTCCATCGCAGCCAATTCCACCAATCACACAGAAACTGCTGAGCTTTGTCTTTGAGATGAAGCTTTCCTCTTTCTTAAAAGTAAAAATCATGTTGCAGGTTATTCCCCAAACACCTGACGAGTCTTTCCAACTGTTCCAAATGAATATAAAGTGAGATTAACTTGAGCTATTTATTAAGCTACCAAACAGGAATGCCTCAACGGTAACCACTAATGCAATACATAAACCATTCATTCAGCAGGTCCTGGACTCTGCTGGTGTTGTTCAAGCCTACAGATCTTTAATTAAAGTGTATAGCACATGTTTGTACTACCGTATATGAGGGCTCCACTATAAATATATCAGTGGTAGAAATCTCTCTGTCACCATCTCAACTCTCAGACGGGCTCTTATGGGATCAGTGCTGGTGCCAAGAGTAATTGGAAAGCTTTTTGGTTTCTATGGGGGGCTCAAAGTGTTCATTATTCATTCATTTAAAGCTTATTTCCACTTTATTTCTATTTCCCTGCTGCACGAAATTCAATGAATTAATTTGTCAGGGGCTGTTGCATCATAATCATTTTTGTGATGTGATTGTCATGTCTGCTCGTAGCCTCCCACAAGTCTGCATTAACCTTTCAAGTCCAGACTTGAGAAGTAATCCAGGAGAATCAAACAATTATTATTTTCAGAGGTGTCTTATTTAAAAGGGAAGCGCTGCCGTTGAGTTTATTGCCTCGGTGAAGCGTGTCCTCGCTGAGCCAAAGGACCGGTTGCCTGCGGGCCTCCTCTTCTCTCCGGCCTCATTGCAAAAGCACTAATTAAGTGTGCCCGTTCACAGCTGCCCTCTCCATGCAGGGTTCAGGAGTTCGTTTGGTCTGACGGGACCTCATAAAACCCAAATGGACTTAATGCTAGAGTGGGAATTGATCTTCAAAGACATTTTTTTCATATGACTTTGAAACTTTTAACTGAACAAAGTTTTCTTTACATGCTGACAGCAATCAATGACATCTGTGGCTGTCGCCGGACTGTAATAAGACCATCCATTCATTTACTTCAGTCTGATTGTAATGACTGGACGAGCTACCTGCCTGTACCTGCTCGTATTCTATCACAGGCTGCTAGCTTTATACCAACAGTAGCCATGTTGGTTGTTAACAGTCAGTATGATTATTGTGGGGGAGTAGCTTTGGAGGGCGAGGTCAGCGTTGCAGACTTTGTGACCTTTTCACTAGATTGAGTGACTTTTGGAGCTAGTGCTTCTAGTTGGCAGCACTGGGCTGTTTATGTTAGGTTGGATCATTTTAAAAACCGAGCCTACTCTTTCTCAGGATTAACAACCCTGCCTGGATGACAGGCTGGGCTGTCATAGCATATGTCAGATGCTATGGGATTTGTTTTCTTCTTCCGTGACCCGCTGGGATTGACCTCTGGGAAAATGTAGCAGACGAGTCCAGTTTAGGACAGAAAATATTTAATTCATCATGCAGTAAAGTCATGAAAAATACCGTAATAGAGTAGTAAAATCTTTTTATGAATGTTGCAGATTTGGAAGATGTCGTTTTTCTGTGTCCAACACTAGGTACAGGGACTTATTCTGACCGTGAGCATTTCCTGTCTCTGAGGCCTTCTGGGAGGTATCAACCTGCAGTAACTCCAGCAAATCCCCCTCAAAGGCCCTTCATAAGGCATTCATTAGCCCACTATTAGAGTCCTAACTGTCATCACATATAGCGAGACTAGCATGACTCACTTTTCCACTGTAAACACAATAACCCTCCACCAAACCCCGTGTTCAGCACTTTAACATCGGTCCCACCTTTGGATTTCCAGAGGAAATTAAAGCTCACCATAATGCATGTAAAGTGTGATTAGATTTAAGGAGATACAGATGAAAACAGCTGCTGGGAATACAGTCACCCGTCTACTGGAAAACACATAGGTAACAGCTGGGAAATGCCACGTCAGCGGTTTCTCCGTGAGGCGGTTAACCGAAGAAAAGAAAAACCACCAACACCTTGCTGCTGTCAAAGTGCTTAATTACTACCAAGCTTTCTAAATTCCAACCATCTCAGCAAAAATCTGCTAAAGGCGATGTCACACTTTGGCGGCTCCACATGGTGAAGAGAGGAACTGCAGCCCTCTGGAGGACAGTTAACATCTCTGAGTCAGCAGTATATGAACAACTCATAGTTATTAAGAATTGAAATGAAAACGGCGTTGTTACATCGCTGTGAGTTTTTATGTGCTTCAGCTCCTCTTTCTTGAATATATTGTAATAAAATAAGTATACTACACATAGTGGTTTTAGAGAATCAGCTTTATCAGAATGTAACAGAGGTAAAGCTGCACCAATCAATGTTCTAAAATAACAAAATCAAATGAATAAAAAGGTGTAATTTTCTTGATGTTTGAAGGTTAATAATTTACTCTTTGAGGTGCGTGTACTTTACTTGAGAATTTCCATTTTGGGATACTTTATACTTCTACTACAATACATCTGAGAGGGTACTACTGTACTTTTTACTCCACAACATGATTTATGTGACAACATTCATTTGACATAAATTCAGGTTATTATTACAAAATACAATCAAGTAATAAATGAGTATTATTATAGAGATTAAAATATATATATATATATATATATATATATATATATATATATATATATATATATAGGGCATTGAAATGAGCTCCACCTTTACCAGCTGCAGCATTAAAGCAATGAACATATTAATGCATCAATAATTGTAATCCACTCCATTAGTTTCTTCAAGTATATTTTGATGCCAGTACTTAAGTACTTTTACTTGATATTTCTATGGTACGATGGTATTGCTACTTTTAGAGAACTTCTTCCACAGCGTTGACAGTATATGAATTCTCAATATGTGAAGAGACAATTGGTGCATTTTGTTACAAAAACCTTAAAACATCAGTGAAATGATGAGTTCATCTCCTAAATGTCAGATTTCCTTCTCACGAATATGGAATCCTGAGCTGCCCTTCAGACAGCAGCACGGGGTGCAGAGAGTGAGGACAGGAAGGACCAGGCGGGACACGGGAGGAAGAGAAAAGCTTTTTCTTTCTTATCACTTTCAAACATTTCCAAAGACGCTTGAGTCTTAATACAAACATGTGCCATTGCTTAGAGTTCCATAATGACAGGTACAAAAGGAGTTATTGTATATTGATAGGCATTGTTAGGTAGAGGGTAGAAAACAATGTGTGACTGCGCCAACTTAAAGGCTGAGACGTGTAAAGGTATTGCTAGGTAACACATAAGTGGCTGGGTGTGGAGGTTAAAGACACATGCATTATACAAACAGGCTCTATATGGACGAGCACCATTGTGAGAGACAACACTAAACATACGAAGTGGTGTGTGATGTAGGTTTTAGGGGGGGGGGGGGGCGCACTAAGGCGAATCGCTGGATGTGCCTACCCAGTATGCCTTGTGGGAACACCCGCCCCTACTCTGCCTGATTGGCCCGTCCAGGCGTCTGCTAAACGCTATCATTAGCCTAGCTATGATGCTAGCTGAACTAGACCGGCTCTGGAGGAGAGCAACTCAGCACAGGCGGCTCATGCTGTGTGCCTACATTCCAACTTGGTAGCCTACATCATAGCTATGCTAACATTAGCATTTAGCAGACACCTGTAACGCCGGAGAGGATATGGCCAATCAGAGACAAGTATGGGGTCATCCCGCAAGGCATACTGGGTAGGCGCGCGCAGCGAGTCATTATAGTGCCTCCCTGTGAGGCATTGAGGACAGCAGTGATGGTTGTTTTCTTTACATTATAACAGCTGCATATAAGCAGACAGCCTGCTGCTCACGCAGAAGGGAGGACGCACTGATGCCTTTAATACTTTTGAAACCGAGTGACTAGACGTTTGCTCATTGAACCAACAGTATATTGTATGCGTTTTTAAAAACTATGACAATGGATTCAATATGAAGCTAGCAGATTTGGATATTTTGTGCAGATATGGAGTAGAGGAATGATATATTAGCCTAGGTCGAGATATTCCAAAGATACTGTAGGTTTGAGGTCACTCAAATGCCCCCACACACACCGTTTTATTTAGCATTCATAATAGATCAGTATAGTTCCATGTCACCGCTAGCTGCTACCAGCATAACTGACCCCCGCCTCCAGCCCAGCTGTCAGCCTTCAAGCTGAATCCCAGGATCCATCAGCTATCGGTCTGATGACAACGGGCTCCAGTGTAGCAAAGGCTCACTCGCCCCCGCGTGTCGGGTTATCCTAGTTTACAAGCTGATCTTAAGCGAGCACAATGTGATGAGGAAGTCAGGTGACGTGGAATAAAAGAGCGAGAAAGCCCAGGTAAGAAGGGGGTCAGGTGGATGGGTAAACAAACATGGGACTTTCACCCAGGTACCTTCTGACACGGTCCTGACTTTGGTCTGAACACAAATTGGGATCCTTTCAGCTGGACAGTAGCAGCTCTGTAATGAAGGCGAGGCACAGACTAAACCATATGAAGTTTGTTTTAAAGGCCAATATTTGTCCAGAAACAGCAAACGAAGCCTTCTGCTGATGAATACTGTAACGAGTGGCTCTAAACACTGACAAGTACCTCACACCCCAGCACCTTTCACCTCACATGACTGGGCTTTAAAAGCAGGACAGCCAGGACGATAATGATGAGGATGAGTGTAGTGAGCACAGAGGGGCTGGGGAAAGTCTGTGGTTCATGTGTGGAACAGCTGGGACTGTACAGTAATAATAAAGTCCTTTGGCCGGGGATGAAGCTGTTGTAGACTTGGCAGCACATTCAGCTCCTCACATGGACTGAGACCAGCGGTGGCTGAGGAGAAGCACTATTTCTATGCCCATCAAACTGTGGTGTAAGGCACCTTCTTACAAGTGCTCATGACTACAGAACAATGAGTGTGAAACTGCATTCATGACTACTGGCCAGCTGACAGTTACAGCACCAGTCTGGAGTCACATTAGATATGACTGAATAAACATTTTTAAAAAGAGAGAACGTATAAAACATAATATAAAAAAAGACCTGATTATTTTTAAAAGCTAGAAAGTAAGTCTTTTGGTTTCAAAGGAAACTCATTATTTTTGCATATGAGCAGGCTCAGAGAAAAAAACTGATTAAAAAAATCAAAACAGCAAAAGGTTTGACTTTAGTCAGATAAATAAAAGTATAAAAAGCAAATCATCTCTGTGGTATGAGACAGTCACAGCATCAATCATGTCTCTCAGGAGGCCGTTATTACGATAGCAGGAGGCTCCTGGCTTTGATAAATAAGGATTCTCTCCGTGATAGCAGCTGGAACAGTTACTACACATGACGCTGTGTCAATTCTCAGGATATTCCGTCAATAAATACACCAGGCTCAGCGATCAGAAGTTCTTGAAGGTCTCCAAGTCCTTCGGAGGCACAGGAGGGTCTTTCTTCCAGTCGTCCTCTGGGTAAACATCAAAGTTAGAAGTGTCCCCCTCATGGGACACTTTAGGAACTATGGGGGGCTGTGGAGACAACGGGACGTCCCGGTGAGTGGGAGCACAATGTAGATCAATGTGCATGCTCCTTATAAAAAGATAAGAGTCAAATTGAAAAGCACTGTTGGTCCGTGTCAGCTCACCTTCAGCTTCCTCAGAGGAACGGCCTCCCAGTCAATGGTCTTGAACCACCGATGCTTCTTCACATCATCTGCTCCGTTCTGAAACACAAAACATGGCTGTATGCAGATCTGTTTCTATAATCAAAGCATTACTTATACTACATTTCATGAACACAGTAGAAATTCTTCTTTTTCTTTTGTTTGGCTTTAATTTTTAAAGATGGACCATTTAGAAACAAAGATGAGTGTGACCCAGCAGCGGCAGCAGCAGGAGCCGTGATAGGCCAGACTCCCGCTAATACACAACAGCTGGCCAATCAGAGCTCCTGCTGCTGCTCTGTGGGTTGCACTTCATTTCAACGTCATTTCTTTTAAGTGATCTGAGCTCTGTGTCGATGAGCTCTTATGGCAGGTCATGAGAGGTGACGCCGTCCTGTGTGGAGCTGGGAGGTGTTGAAGCATCTGGTAACGACAGATCATTCCATGTACGTTGAATATTATCACCAACATTAATGCAGTAGCTGAATGCAAATTCAATTAACACCTTTAAAAAGGCTTTAGTGTGTGTCGTCTAGTCCGGCCTGTGACCGCTGTGCTCTGCAGAGCCACAAATCAATAGCATCTTGTCTGGGATTATGTGGAGCTAATCAGTGGGCTCAGAGAAGTATGTGTTTCATGGAGAGGGCTGTCCTCTCACTAATGTGAGCTGAAACGCTCCAGTCCTCCAGTTTGAATGGGACTCTACACAGCTCCCGCTGGTGCCCGATGAAGTGGCTGGCTCCCAGTTAAATGTAATACCTGCACACTTTTTCTTCTTCTGTAACTTCTTGTCCAACCCTGTTTCAGGTAAAACTAACTCTTAAGAGAGAGTGATGAAGTCATAGCAATCTTTAAATTTGCACAATAAAACTCTCTCAGGTGGATAAGTGAAGCCCGAACACAACATTCTGTTCCTTTCCGGTAGCCCAACCTTTACGGCTTCACTTTTTGCCATATTTGTGTAATTTCCTCTGTCATAATCTATTCAAAATGTTGATACATTCATCTTCATCCTCAATTATCACAGTGAGCTCACGGCAACGAGGTTTACGAGCAGCAGTGAGTAATGTGCGGACATTTTTTGTCTGGGCCTCTGAGCCTGGGGGGCCAGATTACAATATATACTCAATATATATACAATACATAAAGACATCAATCCTCCCTCGTGAAGCTCCTAATGTTCACAGTGTTTTGGAGGATCTAGTTTGCTGGATTGTATCGTGTTACAGTGATCGCTGTTTCTCATGTTTAATCTAATATTCTAACATTTAAAGGCGTTTCTAATATTTCTATATCCATATTGATTAAAATGGGCTCCAGACAGGACAGGCTTTGAAAGCGACTGTACACAAATTTGAGATTTTGTGCGTATGAAATTGTTTTTGATGTTGCCTTCGTTAGGCACGACTGTTTATTTATTTTAGGAGTCAGACAGATGTGAAAAACCTGTAACGGTCCAAACACTTGTCTCTTGGTTTCTCTCTAATTGGAAGCATGTGCAGCTTCTCTTTCCTGTCCCGTCCTCAGACTGCTGACGTCAGTCTACCTGACGCTATGAAATACAGGGCGCTACCGTGTGCTTCAGGGAGCCAGGAAGTCGAACCAACTCACCTTCATGTTGCCTAGCCGTCTGGCTCGGTCGATGACCAGAAACTTCTTGATGAGGTCTCTGGGGGGGAGGAGAAGAAACAGTGAGTGAATCCAAAGCTGTACAGTCTCTCTCTCTCTCTCTCTCTCTCTCTCTCTCTCTCTCTCTCTCTCT